CTAAACGAACGTAATTTTATGTTCGTTTTCGGTTCGAATGCTAAACAAACGAGCTGTTATCGAACTCGAACGAACTCGAACGAGCTTTGTTCGTGAATGTTCGGTTCGACAAACAGCCTTATTTGTACCCATCATTCTCCAACTAATTAGTTTTAAGCAGTATTTTAAACCGGTGGCCATACCGGTCTAGCCAACGGTATGCGGTATTACCGGTCGGACCGGTAATATCGGCTGTATTATCGGATTAGCAAATATAATGCTATATATAAATATACATAAAAATATATAATGTCAAATGCGAAAAAGTAAAAATATAAATGACTATAATCATTAATTTCAACTTCTATGAATATAAAATATTTTAAATACCTATTCAAATTTTATTATTTTAAATTAAAAAAAATTATTTTTTATTGGCCGGTATTTTAGACCGGTATTTTGCGATTTTTACGGTATGATCCCGGTACAAACCGGTATAACCGTAGATCCGGTATTTTGAGTGTAATTGTACCGTACCAATGACCGATATCCAGTATTACTGGCCGATACGGTACGATATTTAAAACATTGGTTTTAAGTACAATTTTACTATTTCTTTAAGAAATAAACTTAGCCTTTATTGCATGTCATATTCAACCACTCTGAAATAATTTTCCTTCAAGTATAGTCGTAAATAATTATTCATTTTATAGGGAACCCTTATTAGCTAGATTTGATTTTTTTTTTTTTTAAATAAAATATTTTCAATACGTGTGTGGATTATTTTCTTGGATTTTTTTTCATGCTTCAAATATACGCAACACCATCATCATACTACATAATAATTTTATTTTTTTATTTAAATAATTTATATTCACAACATTTTTATTTTCGCGTGCTATAGTCTACTATTTGTATCTTTTTTGTTTTTTTGTGTATAATTTGTACATGCATTTGCTAATAAATTGAACACATAATTAAAGGACCACTGAGAATAGTACCTTTTTTTCTCTGAATTGCAACTACTTTTATAGTTGGCAGCTTTTAATTTTCTTGGATCCAGTGACATTTCATAATATACTCTTTCAGTCACTATCATCTTACTTAACCTATTTATTTATTTATTTATTTATTTATTTATTTTTATTTTATTTGATTTTATTTTATTTATCAGCTCTTGTTTTTAGGGTTTTATAGCTCATGTATCTTCTCTAATGTACATTTAGATGTAGTGTTTTGCAATTTGAGGGTATGATTTTATAGTTTTGGAAAGGCTTAATTTTATTTTCAAAATAGATGATTTTTTTTGGTACACTAACTCGACAAATGAATATACGATTCTGACAAATTAGTGTACTAAGTTTGATCAGCTCGAAATTAACGTATTATTTCTTTTGAAGAGATAAAGTTGCTCAATCAAAAAATGAATTTTTAGCTTATGGTTGTAAAGCTAGCTTATATGATAAAAGCGTTTAGTAAAATTAATTGATAATCTACCTGAAATAAAAATTTCAATGGACTTATTTGAAAAACTACTCAATGCCAAAGCTTATGAGATAAGCTCGATCTTTTAAGAAAAAAACTCATCATATGAAACCAAACTTATTTGAATATATGCAGTTTATACATTAATTAAATCAGTTGCTATAAGCTAGCTTATAATATGCTTATCAAACACAACCTAACCGACTAGATGAACTTTTTGTTATGATATTGGCAAATTAATATACTAAATTTAATGAGTGTCAAATTAATATATCATTTTTTTAGAAGAGGTCAACTTAATTACTAGTTCATATATATATATAACTTTGGATTAATTTAATCCTTGTTGTTAGCTTTAACTTTGAAGAAACTACTATATATAGTAAGTGAGTTTGTTGTGCTATTTCCAAATGTGTCAACATGAAACTCATCTTGAAGGCTACAAAATGGTGGTGTTTGCTAACAGTCAAAATACTGAGCATATATATATATAGATATATATATTGCAGCTTTTTTGTGCCTTAGTCATAGACACATTCATTTTTATTTTATTTTTTTCTTTTCAGTCTTCTATCAGTTAACCCCCTTATCTTCTTACAAGAGCTGCCTTTTACTTGTTTCAATTAGATAGTGATATATTTGGACTTTGAATCAGACGTGGCCAGGTGCCGGGCCCGGCCCGGCCCGTGGCCCGTGGCCCGCTAGGAACGAAGGGCCGGTTCATAGAACCGGCCCGAACCGCAGGTTCACCGGCCCGGCGGTTCACGGGCCTGTACGGCCCTTAAAAAAAGCAAAAAAATTTGCCTGGCCCGGCCCGGCCCGCCGGGACAAAAAAAAAATCGTGACCCTTAACGGGACCGGATTGGCCGCGGTCCGGTTCTCGAACCCGGCACTATTCATGCCAGTACCGGAGCCGGACCGGTCCGGTACCGGGTCACGGGTCGGGCCACGGGCCGGGCCGCCCGTGGCCATGTCTACTTTGAATAGGTTAAAAAATAAATAAAGTTACCAGCAGGTACAGTAAAACAGTATAAAAATTAGGAAGATGCTACAGTCCTGTTACGGAATCATTTCGCCGGGGTTCGTAACCGTTAGATCAACTATGTATAATGGTTACATGATGATCTAACGGTTACAAACTTGACGGAATGGTTCCGTAATGGGACCTTAGCATTTCCCTAAAATTAATCCTAAAAGATTATTGTAATAGCTAGCATAAGTTCATAATAAACCGTAGTTTTTTAATCCAACGAAGATGCATACTTATGATATAAAATGTCATACTTAACTTTGGTGGTTATGTTGTTTATCTGAAGTCTGCTATTCTAATTTGAAAATATGTATATTTGTAAGAAACAGAGAGAAAATGATGCGTGAAGCGCACCAAAACAGGGAAAGCCCACATGAAGCCCAAGTGAGGTTTGATCCCAAAACCAATTAGTGGAAGAAGGAGTAGCCCATTAGACTTATAAGTTAGGTCTATTTTCTTTATATAAACAAAGTGAGACAACTCACAAGTGAATATTCTAATATATTTAAAAAAATAAAAACAGTTATCTAACCAGTAATTAGGTATGACTATCGACAACCTTACTGTTTTCCTTTATGTTACTCGGCATCACCCGACATGTAATGAACTCGTAAAATATTCAAATATTACTCGATTAATATAATTTCTGCCTTAATAGACGAATTATTTGAAGGGATACATTTTTTTTTTTCACACCCTATATTTTGGGTGTTTTGTGACCCGGACCGGCCTGGCGGGTCGACCCGGGACCCAGTCGACCCGGAGCCGGAACCGGTCCGGGTGGGTTAATTAGACCGGGCAACACGGACCTGGTCAAACCCGGTCAAAACCCGGTCGACCCGGCCTTGACCCGGTCGACCCGGGGCATTGACCCGACTGGGTCAACCCGGTTGACCCGGTATATATGTATTTTTTTTATTTTTTTTGTTTTTTAATTTTCTTTTTCTTTTTAAAAAATAAAATTAAGTATATATATTTATATGATATATATATACATATTATTACCACTTTAATTTATAAATTTTACATACAAAATATTTAAATTTGTCATTTTTATGTATATTTATATATCACAAAATACTCTATATATAATTTTATAAATTTTAAAATTAATTATTCGGTTCAACAATTGACCCGGTGACCCGGCGGTTGAACCAGTGACCCGGTGACCCGAAGAACTGCCCGGGTCGATTACCGGGCCGGGTTTAAAAATTATGGTTTTGGAGCCTAAATATCCTAGCTTTGGGACGACATAATTTTATTTTTAGTCCACTATAATTGTCATTTTTCAGCAAAGGTCCACCTTTTTGACAGATATCAAACTTATTAGTACGTTAATTTAAAAAATTCATATCAAATAATTAAGGTACACTAATCATTAGTGGCACAAAATTTTGAGTTGAAACTATATATATATATATATATATATATATATATATATGATGGTAGCACAATATATATTGGTTCCTAGAGACAAATTTTGAAACATTTATCTTTATATTTATATATTATAGTTAATTTTATTTTTATTTTATTTTATTTTCCTTAGCCAAGTCACAGATTATTCAAACAAAAACTGAAACTTACATAATTAAAAGGCTGATCATCACTGAACAGCTAGTAGTACTACTGGTGGATGGGGGAGTACTACATAGTAATTCAGATTTCTGGTAGATTTTAACTTTTAACCTGTTAGTACATTCAGAAAAAAAAAATGGTCAGATTAATAAGTTGGGGTAAAACCTTTTTTTTTTT